TTTTTAGGGTCAAAATCCGTTAAAATGGGTAATTATACCATTTTGTAGATGTTCGAAAATCCAAGGAGAGGGAGGCAAGCAACAAATTTTGCAACAAATGCTCCGAAAATTCTAGATCTCAAATCGTCTTCCGAACAGATATTTTCCCGAAAATTGCCGTTGGGTGCCCCTGATACATCTTCAGCTGATTTAATCCCTAAGCAAATATCACTCTAACTAGAAATACTTGTATCGCAGAATCTCTATTAACATAACATAACTTTGCATCAAACGCTACCTGTAGTCACTTTAATTGTTCGTTTCCTAAATGTTGATTAAAATATCAACCCACAAATCTACCAGTAATTAGTAGCGTGGGCGGAACGAAAATATAGAGATATAAAAAACACCTTCTCTCACGTAAAGCAAGTTTACGTAACAATACAATTTTTATCGCATAAAAATAGTGAAGTGAATTCATATTTATGTCTTATAAGATTAGGATAGACTTGTCTGTCTTCGCCTACTTTGAAATTTCTTCAGTATAAATTGTACTGGTTTTATGGTCCACTAGCTAAATTGTTTTAAATAGAATCGACGACGTGACCAATACTGCCAGAGTAAAATATCTTAAGTCGATCGTTTCTCTCTTTAACTTTTTAAAGGCGAAAGATCGTGATCATAATATGACTTCTTTTATATAGTGACACACTATGATAAAATCGCGTGTTCAGGTCTCTTAGACCGGAAGTAAACAAACAAGTGGCGGCAAGTCATACCCACGTGATCCAATGGATAGTCGGCCAGAGCCTCGCTTTGGAGATGAAATGGTGACTTCAGCTTCATTCGTGATCGTTCCTCTTTATTGTTGTTCGGTTTCTTATCTACGCGTTTTGTGCATACATCAATGGCTTAGTCATAGCTGGATTGTATGTAACGATTCGTGAAGATGGGCTATGTGGAGTTTGTCCAGCCTTCGAGCCTTGTTGTCTGCAAAATTACGATTGAGGCATAAAAGTTTGAATGAAGGTTGAAACTGAATAAAAAGAAAATATTATAAAGTTTGTTTAAAAAACGGTTTTATATTGAATTAAGAATAAACTTCCGCGAGTTTAAAAAATGAAAAAAGTAACTTTTGGTAATCAGAAAATGAAAATGAAAAGTTAACACAAGGCAGAGTTAAAATAAACTGCTCAAGATTGTTGGGGATCTGAATTTAAACCCCCCTTTAAAATGTTCATTTATGAGAAGGGTACCCAACACGGCCTGAAACTAAGAAAATTGATTGGAAGCTATGAAGTAATATATAATTTAGAAGATCAGAATAATATCTGGCATCCCTTTTGCGGGCGGGTTATAATTAGTTAATTTTTTTTTAAATTTCACTTTTGAGAGGTATTAAAATCCATGCACAATCCGCCATCACGGGCAGCATCAAAAAAGTATTAATTTGTAAACTTTTAATCTTTTGCCGGGGTTATTATTCAGTACTCGCCTGAACAGGCGTGAAGGAATTTTCATCACACTGAATAAAATATTTTAAGCTTTCAACATAGATCGGCAAATCGATGCTCAATATCAAACGTATTTATCGCCCTCCCGTATTCGACACTGCGACAACGTTCAAGTCCATAATTGTAAAACATAAAATGAATATACTATACGTATCTGTTTTTCCGTAAGTCAGGTGCACAGTGCCTTGAGGGCCTTGAAACACGTTGGGCGTTCCATGACTTCATATTACTTCGGTTTACCTGACAGAAAAAAGATAAATAAGACTTTCCGGCATTTGTTAAAATTGTTTCTTATTCAGTAACAAATGAATTGATAGATTTTTCGCAGAAACAAACAGCAACTATCCATTCCAGACAGAAATATAGGATAAAGCTAGTTTGCGTTTTCAGTTCACTTTTTTTCAGTGTACGCACTTGCCGCAACCAATAAAGAAAGGACTATACGCAAAATCAGTGATGTATTATCACTTACCTGGCACAAACAAAGACGCTGAAGGTTTCCTTTCCTATTTTAGGTTGTACCGCAGGCCGACTCGATTCTACAAAGGAAATGAACAGCACCTCGCAGACTGAAGCGAATGCAAGAAACTGCTGTTGAAGGAAGGAGTACATAAATAAATTCGTTTTGTGAATAACATCACTACCTTGTTTGCTCCAGCTTATCAAAACTTTGTCACTAAATAATGAACCGGCGGCATCATAAAATTCCTGCAATTACTCGCAACTTAAAAATGCTTTTGCT